ATTATCAATATGACCATTTGTATCATCATCGCCTGTCAACATTTGAAGTATTTTAAGAAGGTAAGAACTTGACTAAAGGGACAAATAAACAAAGACATCACTAATACTCCTGGCTCACCCACCAACACCGCTTACAGGGGAAAATGCACAAGTAAAATTAATGACCATGAAGAACTTCAAAATTAACAGAGTAGAGATCTTTTATAATAATAATATTTGTAAATACTACAGAATTAAGTCAAGCACAAAATGCAGACCAAGTACCATATAGTCCGCGAGGCAGCCAAATGATCTTCTTGACCCCAAGATAATCCTTAAGTATATCCTCTATCTGACCCTTTGACAAATGTGGATTTCTATTTTTATTCAAGAGGCACTCCTCTGTGGTAAGGCAAGTTCCTGAAGGGGGAAAACAATGTTATATTCCCTAAACTAAACATTACACGATTATCAAATATAAGAATCTCCATCTCTTTCTCATAGTGCAGTACGCAGGGTGAAACAGGAAAGCGGGAGTTGTACCACACACATTACTCCATATCCTAGAGAACAGGTGTGTTCAACTGAGCATTTATTCAGCAATTGTATATTGGTTCAATGTTAAACAAAGAAGATGTCCATAAATTTGACATGGTAAGGTGTCTAATTTGAGGACTGGTTTTCTTCGAAGGTGCAAAATCTTTTTCACTTAGCAGATGAAATTAGGTCATAATATTTGATCAGATGAAAAAATAGGTCATATATATTGATAACACAAGCCAACTAGAAGTTGTAGTTACCTTCCCCATCTACATGGATGCTTCCACCTTCAAGAATAATTTTGTTCAAAAATCTAGGAAGCTTCTCAATATTCAGGATCTGCACAAAATCAGAAAGTGGATCAAATAAAATATAATCAACAATATGGAAGGACGATGGGGGAAGAGAGGGAGAGAGGACATGCTAACCTTCCAAGCAACCTGAAGATCAAGACTCCAATCAGTGTAACAACCATCCTCAATACCTACAAGGCCAGGGGTTCAGGAAATTGACCATAATGTCAGTTAAAGAACATTCACAATAAAAATTCCCAACAGGTACTACCTCTCCTCTCAGGAGAGTGTACCTTCCCAATGACTCGTTGTGATGGTTTATAATTCAAGGTATAACTTTAAAGAATTCCTAATATTTCTCGTTTACTCCTTACTTTTTGTTCATGGGGAAGGAGAGGGAAAGAAACCCTGATTAAGTTTTGAAATCTGATCGTTGGTAGTTTAGCAATCAATGACCAGCTCAATGAGTTATCATTGTGCTATGGCAGAAAGGGAGGGGAAAGAGCTTTGTATATATTTGGAAATTATTCCTCTAAGAAATTGGTTCAAGGAATGAAAGGAAAACCAGTTAGCTATTTTAAGTAGCAAGTAGTCGAACGTGGAACATAATGCAAATTAGATTACCGCAAAGATATAAGAAACCTATAACTTTGATCTAGTACACAATAGATCTACGTGTCTACAACCTTACCTCCCCAACTATTGAAGTTCCAATCAATTCCTGCAACAGATTCCACTGAAGTACCAGAATTTGAGATTCTTTTCCTTACAACAAACTATAAATAGAACTTGTTAGAGGAAAACTATGCAATAAGCTGAATTACTACCAAGTATAAATAAGGAAAAGGAAGAAACCTACAGTGGGTCCAGTATCACGGAACCAGCAGTCATTCATTCCTAGTTCAACAACCCTGATATTTGCGGGTAGCTGACTGCGCGCATTTTCCCACTGGAATGTAACAAATGTATATATTCAAACACTTGAAGGAAGAGAGAGAAGTAGATATTAAAGAGACGACAGATTGCATCCGTCTTTCTACAAACACCTGGGAGGCACTAGCACAGACAGTCACACATTCGAACTTTGAGATTGCAGACGCCACCTTCGCAAATACACGTTGTGCATGTACTGCATTATCCCTCCAATTATCAGGCCGTTCCTGTAATACATAGTATAACCCAATGCCAAAGAAAATTTAAAAAATAATAATAAAAGGTGGAAACTGTGCATGGTAACGGAGCACCCAAACCCTTGTTGATTTTACATGGCTCCCTTTCATTGTGCCGTACCAAGTAAAGTGTTTACAAATTGATCGTTAGCAGGAGGTGGTGGACAGATTTTTCAATAACCATACTAAGAATTGTTTTATTAATCCACCACACCTAAATGTGTGAAAGTTATCTTATTTATAATCAAATAAATTACAAGGATATGGAAATAGTACCTATGGTATGGTAATAAGGCAAATATTAGATATTTGCCTTATAATAAAATATCAAATATAATATATATAGTAAACTATAATTTATTACTAAATATCCTCAACACCCCACCGCAAGCTAAGCGTCAGATTTAAACGAACGTGAAGCTTGAATCTGAAAAATTCAAAGAGGTTGAGAAATACTTTTCGTGAAGATGTCAACAACCTGGTTCAGAGGAGGCATAGAGAAACACTTTCTTGGCCATCGAAAATTGCAGAGGGATTGCCGCTCAGCGGCGATGCTGCCTTGGCTTCGGCGAGAATATGTCTAACCCATGAAGAGGGATTGTCGCTTAGCGACGATGCTGCCTTGGCTCTGGTGAGAATATGTCTAACCCCAAGAAGTAGAAGGGGAAACCTAGAGCAAGGGACAAAGACAATGTTGAAGCCGGAAGAGTCGCCACATTGGGCGAAGGAGCCAATTTTGGCGAGAAGGGCAGTCGGAAGAGTCGCCACATTGGGCGAAGGAGCCAATTTTGGCAGGAAGGGTAGCGGCAACTTGGTTGGCGAATAGGCCAGTGTGGCACCCAGATTCCAAAGGTAAATCTTTGCAAAAGGTTGATGGGCTTGTCGAGATTCCGTATATTTCTGAAGAGAACACTAAAGAGGATCCTGAGATTAGGGTTTCTTTGAAGGATGAAGGGTTGATTGGGAAGAAAATGAGAGAGACTATATTGGCCAATGGGAAAACCAATTAGGTTGGAAAATGTGAGGTTGTATGTACAGAGTATGACAAAAGGTGATTTGGAGGTCAATAGGGTAGAGCCGAAGAGTAATCAATCGGCTCCAGTTGCGGCAGCCATGAAGACTGCCCCTGCAGCGTCAAAGCCAGCAAGGATGGTGGAGAAGAAGATTAGAGGATTCAATAGCCATTGAAAAGAAAGGATCTGAGTTGTTAAACCGAGAGGGCTCTCATACCATAAGAATGTTTGATTAATTCACCCCACCTAAATGGTGTGAAAGTTATCTTATTTATAATCAAATAAATTACAAGGATATGAAGCTAGTAATAAATGGAAATAACAATAGATGGAAAGATACTGTGATGGTAATAAGACAAATATTAAAATATCTAATATAATATATATAGTAAACTAAATATCTTCTAACACAAATATTCTAATTAGAGAAAGGCATATTCATAGATATTGTGGTTTGTTAAAGAAATCTTCATCTGGAAATGGATTCAAATTTATCCATCCACATTTCTGCTTGAAGAAACCTCGCTTGCAGATTCTTCAAGTAAATTGATTATGAATATTTCCATAAACGAGAAAGGTTCTAGTGTAACATCAACCAAGAAGGCAGGTCATCAATTTTTAACTTCGTACGAATTGGCAACTTTAATGCTCTGATACATGCTCATCTATGAAGCAAATTTGCAATTGGACAAACCAAACATAGAGAGAATCCACAAAAAATAGCACAGAGAAGCAAAGAAGTCTGGCATCTAATATCATCACAATTTATATTAATCTTCATCTACAAGCATGGAATCTCAAAACTTCAAAAAAAAAAAAAAAAAAAAAAAAAAAAAAAGGCGCGAAAATGTCCAATCATTACACGCGAATAAACACGAACAAAACGAAAACAAGCACGAAACACCGAAGCTCAAAAGAAACCGTCCTCCCTGAAATTGACCAGAGTAAGAGCATTAGGCACTTAGCCCCGTGCAATACATGAATTAAACAAAGAATCAATCTCCGAAAATCATAAACTACAAAGAACAACATCAAAGCAAGGAAGAAACACGGAATCGATCTGAAGGAAAGCAAAAGAGCACCAAACTTACAGGCCAGCCCATCCAACACTGGGAGTGCGGTTCCCACTCAGCAGGCATATGAAATTTAAGAAGAGAAGGACTGCCTTCCAAATCCATGGCAGCAACCTGCTCCCTTACCTCCTCTGGTTTCCAACAACAGCAAATGAGCTCGAAAATTTGAGGATCAAGATTTAGCAGGCGAGAGAAGAAAAGGTACGCACGAATATCACCACCGAACTGCCAGAGGTTTTTGATATTCACGAAGAGAGAGAAATGGAGGTTTTTCAAAAGAAAAGTTACAGACAGTTACTTTAAATCACCAAGTTTGCTTTTACATAATAATTAACGGACGGATAGGCAAACAATTTGTTGGGTAAAGGATCAAATTTAGTTTAAAACTAAAACCCATCAAAAATTCCACCGGGCCCTCTCGGCCCGACATTCCGAAGAAAATGGGCCAGGCACCACTACTTAATTGAGCCCAATTCCTTCCATGGGCCCATCATCCCAAAGCCCACATAAAACCGCACGTGTGAAATGATTGTATCAATACACCGCATCAATGTTTATCAGGCTATATGAAATATACAAAACGGACAATATTTAAAATAATAATAATAATAATAATATTACAATTAAAATTTTGTTTCAATTTGTGAATTTGGACTAATTTATAGAAATTAATTAAATTAAAACCAACCAGCAATTATCAAAATCTACCTATTCACTTTTTAGTGCTTTGCTTTGGGCTTTTCAGACCAATAGATATAGTATTATTACTCATCTTACACTAAATCAAATAAATCAACGAACGTGAGCTCTTAAATAATATTCAAGGATAAAAAAACATTTTGTAAAACAAAAATAAAAAAAAAATAAAAAAATTAGGGAAGAAATAAAAAGAAGAAAAGGCCAAACATTTTAGGGCAACGCGAAGATTCCAGGTCCTGTCTGTTCTAGTGATCCTTATCTATTTTTCCAACATCGTTGACCTTTCTTCAGCTCAGCTGTCTATTCTCCCACTTCAAATTTCCAACAATTTATGAAGCTGGGTAATGTTTTTCTCTCTTCCTTCTTTCAATTTTTAACCTGCATTTTGCGATTGCAACAGCCCCGCGCCACTTACAGGGAGTGAAAAGCCTGCGAATCACTCACATTCACAGCAACTCATTCAATTCCTTTGTATTTTCCTCCACCTGTCCTTCTTTTATCCAGTCGATCGCGGTGATATTACGCTTCTCTAATCTTATCCTAGTACTTTCTTCAATTGCTTTCATCTATCTGTTTCCTTTTTAGCCACCGAGTTCTTATTTATGTTCAGAGAATCGGGCCACTTGTTCTCTCACTCAATCGCCCCACCATTCATGTTCATGAAAAAGGAAAACCCATTACCAAAAGACCCCACTTGAAAACACCCATGAATTATTTCTCTCTCACTCCTTCCATTTCAGAAAGCAGGCAACAGCCTCAAGAATTCAAGAGCACCAACTGCTATACTGACAACAGTTCTGTTTCTTTCTTTCAGAAGGTTTGTATGCTGTGTTTTCTGGACTTTGATTCATATTTATGCTAATTTGTGATCTGGGTTTTCTTTATGTGTCAAATTTAGTACTCTTCTGTTCAGAAAGATGCTTTTTGTAACGCCTTTTCTTTGGCCTATGGGCTCCTTGACCCTGTTTTTAGTCATAGTTTTATTAATTCTTGGTCAAAACTGGTTTAAAAAGTGTATTCAGCTGTATCTTATGCCTTGACTTTCTGCAGCCAACAGGAAAACTCTTCTAAATGCCTCAAGATACGCTTCCTAGCATTGAATCACCTCGGAGGCGTTCTGGCCTTTTGAGAGATCAAGTTCAGTTAGTAAGGAAGAAGGACTCAAATCGATATGAGATACTTAGAATTCAAGACCCTCTGTCATTTGATAAAGGTTTCTTCATTGTAATTCGGGCATGCCAGTTGCTGTCTCAAAATAATGATGGGATAATCCTAGTTGGAGTGGCAGGCCCTTCTGGAGCTGGGAAGACAGTATTCACTGAGAAGGTGCTTAACTTTATACCCAGCATTGCTGTTATCACGATGGATAACTACAATGATGCTAGTCGTATCATCGATGGCAACTTTGATGGTATTGGTTCATTCATTCTACTAACCATTCATATCTCAATTTTGTTTTAAATTTTAGCAGTATGAGAGCTCTAAATAGTTACCTATGGTTTACAACCCTATGACACTGGTTCGGAGTCCTCCAGTACTTAGTTCTTGCACAGGCTTTGATGATTGCTTTGTTTTTCTGTTCTCTAAAGTGAGGTGGCAGGAAAACTTGTAATTTTCCATTGCCATCTACAAAATCATGGAGCCACATGCTTCTTGTAAGTTTTAAGCTTGCTTCTAATACTTTTCCTCTTGAGCAGTCATGGCTATGCATATATATGAACATTGTTTGTTACCTAGAAGAATGAAATTTCATTTATACCATATTGTTTGAGAAGTGAATGAGTTTGTTGATTTTGCTCATCGTCATGGTGTTTAGTTTATGTGAGATCCCACATGGGTTGGAGAGGAGAACGAAGCATTTTTTATTAAGGTGTGGAAACCTCTCCCTAATAGACGCGTTTTACAAACTTTGAGAGGAAACTCGAAAGGGAAAGCCCAAAGAGGACCATATCTGCAACAGTGGGCTTGCTTGAACTAATTGTGAAATTTTCTTTTCAAATATTTTTTGCTTGCACATTTCCAAGGTTCTTACCCTTGGAGTTCAGCAGAATGAACATACTGGAATCAACTTTTGTTCTTAATTCTGATATATGGAAATCCTTAAAGCATGTTCTTTCTGCTTTCTTTTTTAGACAGTGTGCTTGTTAATTATTTCTTGCAATTTAAGTCACTGATATTTGTTGGTCCCTCTTTTTTACCAGACCCACGTCTAACGGATTATGATACATTGCTCGAAAATATTCATGGTTTAAGGCAAGGAAAATCAGTCCAGGTTCCTATTTATGATTTCAAGACCAGTAGTCGTGTGGGTTACAGGTATAGCACTTTTGCAGCCGAGAATTGTATTGCTTGAAATTTTCTCAGTCACTATGTCATACCTTGAATCTTTTGGTCTAGCAGTCAGATTGGACGTGGAAAAAAGGACTGGGTGGTTTTGAGGAGTAATGTCCTCTTTGGGTTTGGGCTTTCCCTTTCGGACTTCTCCTCAAGGTTTTTAAAACGTGTCTGCTAGGGAGAGGTTTCCACCCTTATAAAGAATGTTTCGTTCTTCTCCCTAATCGATGTGGGATCTCACAATCCAGCTCCTTTTAGGGCCCAACGTCCTCACTGACACTCGTTCCCTTCTTCAACCGATGTGGGACTCCTCAATCCACCTCTTTTCGGGGCCCAACGTCCTTGCTGGCACATCGCCTCGTGTCCACCCCCTCCCTTTGGGGCTCAACCCCCTTGCTAGCACATTGCCCGGTGTCTGGTTCTGATACCATTTGTAATGGCCCAAGCCCACCCCTAGCAGATATTGTCCTCTTTGGGCTTTCCCTCAAGGTTTTTAAAACACGTCTGTTGGGGAGAGGTTTTCACATCCTTATAAAGAATGTTACGTTATCCTCCCAAATTGGGATCTCACAATGTAGCCCCCTTTGGGGCCCAGCATCCTCACTGACACTCGTTCCCTTCTTCAATCGATGTTGGACTCCCCAATCCACCCCCTTTCGGGGCCCAGCATCCTTGCTGGCACACCACCTCGTATCCACCCCTCCCTTTGGGGCTCAACCCCCTTGGCTGGCACATTGCCCGATGTATGGTTTTAGTACCATTTGTAATGGCCCAAGCCCACCACTAGCAAATATTGTCATCTTTGGGCTTTCCTTCAAGGTTTTTAAAACACGTCTGTTAGAGAGAGGTTTATAAAATGTTTCGTTCTCCTCCCCATGTGAGATCTCACAATTAAACTCTTAAGTCTTACATTAATCCTTTTAAACTTATAGCTTCTCTCTCAAAGATTATGAATCAACATATTCCATTTCCTCTTAGTTCTTACTTCAATAGAACATTTGTTTATCTTTTACCATTTAACTTTCTTACTCTTAAATGTCTACTAACAGAACTCTTGAAGTCCCCAAGTCAAGAATCGTCATTATTGAGGGCATTTATGCTTTAAGTGAAAAACTGCGTCCATTGCTAGATCTTCGTGTATCAATCACCGGTGGTGTTCATTTTGACTTAGTTAAACGGGTACTACGCGATATCCAGCGAGCTGGCCAAGAGCCAGAAGAAATAATACATCAAGTTTCCGAAACGGTGTGTCCTTTTTATCATCACTACTTCTCAAATGTTAGGTTCTGTCACCAATCACTTGTAATAAAATTATTGCTAGTGGTACATATAAAAGAAATTTGGATGCAGGTTTATCCAATGTATAAAGCTTTTATAGAGCCAGATCTTCAGACTGCCCATATTAGAATTATCAACAAATTCAATCCCTTTACTGGTTTCCAGAATCCTACTTACATTCTTAAGGTTAGCTTCAAATTTACTTCGTTTGCCTCTAAAATCATAAGAGTTGTACCCTATATGAATTAGGTTCATTTTCTGGTTACAGTCAACAAAAGCAGTACCTATGGATCAAATTAAGGCTGTTATATCTGAAAATCACAAGGAGTCTACAGAGGAAACTTATGACATTTATCTTCTACCTCCTGGTGAAGATCCTGAAGCTTGTCAATCCTATCTCAGGATGAGGAACAGGGATGGCAAATACAATCTCATGTTCGAGGTCACAGTAACAAAAGCTATATAACTGAGTTCCTTCAAACTATACTTTCCTGTATTCCAATCTTGATGTTTCTTATTTTCTCTCTGCTTTCTTCAGGAGTGGGTTACAGATATTCCATTCATAATATCGCCTAGAATAACGTTCGAAGTTAGTGTCCGCCTTCTTGGCGGGCTTATGGCACTGGGATACACAATTGCAACCATTCTTAAAAGAAGCAGCCACATATTCTCTGATGATAGGGTGTGTGTCAAGATTGATTGGTTGGAGCAACTTAACCGGAAATATATTCAGGTACATCTTGTACTTGATATCCATGCTTTAGATGTAATGGTTTGTCCTTTTCAGCAATGCAGTTCATTTTTTTTCTTTCTTTTTCTTGACACAACCTAAAAGCCTTAGGGCTGAGAGGTCACTGAGCCTAGTTTGGAGGATAAAAAATAAAAGGCCTCCTGTCTAAGTTAACTTTGTGTAACAACCCAAGCCCACCATTAGTAGATATTGTCCGCTTTGACTCGTTACATATCGCCATCAGTCTCACGGTTTTAAAACGCGTCTACTAGGGAGAGGTTTCCACACCCTTATAAGGAATGCTTCGTTCCCCTCTCCATTCGATGTGAGATCTCACAATCCACTCTCCTTGGGGACCAGAGTCCTCGCTAGCATACTGGCCGGTGTCTAGCTCTGATACCATTTGTAATAGCCTCTTTGAGTTTTCCCTTTCAGGCTTCCCCTCAAGGTTTTTAAAATGCGTCCGCTAAGGAGAGGTTTTCACACCCTTATAAAGAATGTTTCGTTTTCCTCCCCAACCAATGTGGGATCTCACATAGATTCATAGATTAATAATGTAGGGACTTTGGAGTAGGACAAACATTAGCATGGGTTAATTTCTTTATTCTTCCAAATCTATGATTTAGCCAATTTTTTTAACCAATGATCAAGTGTGTGTCCAGCATGATGATTTTTCATTAGCCACATTTTTTCAGTCACCTAAATATGACATTACCATGCACAATATCGGTATTTTGTTTAGAAACATGTATTTAAATTGAGAAGGTTCATATTATCATACCACTAACTCGCTGAACATTGGACAAAGGTGCAAGGAAAAGATCGGGTCCATGTTAAGCACATTGCTGCGCAGTTGGGTTTGGATGGTTCCTATATCCCTCGAACCTATATAGAACAAATACAGCTAGAGAAGCTTGTCAATGATGTTATGGTGAGATATCTGTAATGCAACAGTTTAAGAAAATGGTCATTAGTTCAATAAGTCTGTTGTGATCATTTGTAGGCCTTGCCAGATGATTTAAAAACCAGGCTCAGCATAGATGACGATTCAGTTTCGAGTCCAAAGGAAGCCCTTTCCCGAGCTTCTGCAGATAGGAGAAATAAGTACCTAAACCGGTATCCTCCTACGTTACAACTGTTGGATATACTTGAATTTGGAGGCAAATTTGAGATAAAAAAGAGATTTAGTGAAAAAATTCTCTATTTGATCAATTGCTAGAAACATGGTATAAATCTTGGATATTCTCTGTCTGTCAGATCATATGTTGTTCATCATATTGCTCTCTTAATAACTCTTCTAAGTCATTTATAAGAACTCCCTTAACTTTGACACTCGTATTCAATCCATAGAATCACTTCTCTTCTTAATTTCTTTACAAATTCAGGCTTATTTATTGTGCAACACTGGAAAGTAAGCATTCTTGTTCATTTAGAATTCTTATGAAATGGTGCTTGAAGTGCTTAAATTACATACCTGTGTATCCTTTTTTGATACTTGATATCTTTGCCAGTGGATTATCACAATCGTTTTCCAATCGGAGGGACAAGAGCTTGTCAAAGCTGACAAAGCTTGCTGTTAATAGTGGAAGGTTTGATGTCAGGGCTCCAGATTCCCCTGCAGTAGTCTCTAACCAGGTAAATGTTCTTCTGCAACAAGAAAATCTTATTCATGTGATCTATATACTTTCTGTATTCCAAGATAGGATAACGTAGGAAGATTATGAATTTAATTAACCGTCCAATGATAGCTAAAAACGAAGCTAGAATTCAAAAGCTTTGGGATAAAAATTAACGTCTCTATTAGTACGAGGCTGAACGTGTTGGTAAAGACTTTTGACCCAAAGAAGAGATAAACATTCATATAGTTTCTTGATTAACAGTATTGCTGAATGAGTCGAGGAAGTCCTCAGCTTTTTAATTTGCTGATCCATCTCAAAATTCTTTCAGGGAGCCATTACACAACTTTCAGAACAGATTTCTACTCTCAGCGAGAGGATGGATGAGTTCACAACACGTATTGATGAGCTGAACTCCAAGATCTCTACTAGAAACGTTTCTGCTAGCCAGCAGAACTTGTCTTCACAAGCCGATGCGGGCAACAACGGCTCCGGGGCAACTTCAATTTTCATATCTGGCTTGAGTAATGGTGCGTTAACTGGATCACTGCTGTCTCATTCTTTGTCGTCCTCCCAATTGGCTAAGGAATCACCCCTGCTAGAAGAGGTATTTTGATGAATATGACTTCTTTTCTTCTTTGGTTTTAAGATTCAAACTTAGAAGTATGGCTTTTGTGCTTTCCATTCACATTTTCCAGATACAAAATATAGCACGGGCGCAGCGTCAAATTATCCTCCAAGTTGACAATTTGAGCAATCTTCTCCGGGAGTACTCGAGCGAGAGGAATCATCGGGGCAAAGCTGACAATGAGGGGATGTGGAAGATTGCTGATTTTGAATACATCAGAAACCCACTTTTACTAACGCTTGCAGTTGGTAGTTTAGGCTTACTTTTGTTCAAGAGCCTCAGAAATGATTCCTTTTGATATCTACCCCAGCTGTTCCAAAATAATATGAACTGCAATTCAATTTCATGTGAAAATATGTACGGATCTATCTGGGGAGGCAACGCCTGTTCATGGCCCATCTGCAAATTCTCTATGAAGACTATTAAGGAGATTCATCAGTCCAAATGATACATTTATACAAATTTGGATAGAATATCTCACAGCTAAATCAAGTTAAAACATTGAAGAACTCATAGTGACAAGATCTACAGCAAGCATAATATACAGTAAGGTTAATGTCATAATGAAGAAGTTCAGAGGTTCAAATAGGCTAAAAATTCTTGAATGCCATCCAGCGTAGCATTAGAGAAACTTGAAGAATAGAAACAAGCATTAAATAGGATGTTAGATGATATCCACCTTCCACAAAGCTAAAACAAGCTTGTTGATGCTGAAGTAGCTTGAAAATCATACCCTTGCGATGGTGAGAGATGTCTCCGTTTGTATGAACCTTATCTACTTTAGTGAGCTTGGAATCCTCCATCTTCCTTCTCTTCAGCTTTCCTATTTTCTCTCGCAGATAAGATGCAGTTCCCATAATCTTTGCAAGAATTTGATATTTGTTAGAACGCTGATTCCTAAAATCATGAAGATCTTTTACCTGTCAACTGTTAAAATTTATGTACAATGAAATTTAATGCTAATGAATAAATTGTGTTTCAAGTGGCTTCAAAATGAAAACAGCCAGAGAAATTGCATTATTCACAGACTACAGTTCCTCGGATGAACCCCCGAAGAAAACAAAAAGAAATATCATGTAACAGTCCAAGCTTACCGCGAACAGATATTGTCCGTTTTGGTTCATTACGTATTGTCATCAGCCTCACGATTTTAAAACGCATCAGTTAAGGAGAGGTTTTCACACCCTTATAAAGAATGTTTCATTCTCCTCTTTAATTGACGTGGGATTTCGAAATCCACTAGCCTTATTTTCAGATTTAGATGCAAAATAAAGTCGTCTAAACAAAACCAGAAACAAATGAATTTGCAGGTCTTCACTAAAATATTATTTGGATGAATTAGAGTTTGTATCACGTGGTTATGCAGACGAGGATGATCAATCAGAGGAGAAAGTTAGTGTCTGCAAAAAATTTAATCTACCAAGCGGGCTATGACAATAAAAATTTATTACAAGAAAAATAAAATAAATCAGCTCCACACATTATTTGTATATTTCATTTCGAGTCTTCCCCTTCATGAGTATACTAACAGGATAATGGCGCATGTATGGTCAGAAGTGCATGAAGAAACAATCGATTCTAAGCATAACATAATTACCCTGGAACATCTCATTCACAGAGCTTTGCTCGTATAACTGTAATGCTTCGTTGACATAATTGGCTTGGGAGTTCCTTTCTAAAGCTTGGAATTCCTGATTCAATTCAACATTCTATTTTCTGACCTGAAAAATATATTTTCTTATGAAATATGATAATACAGAAACACAAGAAGTAATAAACATACGAAGCACTCAATACCTCTGAGAGCTTATTCCTCAAAGAATCTAGCTCTGTATCCAGATCCACATCATAGAGGCAGCCATAACTTATTGAAGTGTCAGCAGGAGATTCATCCTACGACAACTTAAAAAAAAGATTTAGATCTAAATTAAACTTGATGATGCAACAGCAATATAAGTTTTTCCAAAATTTCAAAATTTGTTCGTCCCAGAACCAAAAATTGAGTAAGCTCCCAAGCCAGTACACATATATACATTAGAAGTGGGAAACTCGCTGCATAAGCAAACAGTCATGTTTACATGCCCAATTAATCACTTGTGAAATGAATTCAGTTACAAAAACAACAATAATAGAGCAATTTCGCCAAATAAAAATAGCAGGAGCCTCTTCACAGACAGAGTAGAAGAACCCACATTTGAGGGTAAAGAAAAATCTTCAGGGACTGAAAAGCAGTGATTGAGACAGTACTTCTCCCACATGGCCAACCGCTTATCCAGACCCGATTGGACGAGAGCTCGGACCCGCGATATTCCCTGGGTAGAATAAACAAGGAACAATTTCTAAGTAGTGCTTCAGAGTACCAACTTGAGAAATCGGAAATTAACGACTGATAAGAAACTGTCAAGTAATATAACCAAAACCTTACCATTATAAGATCCTGCGATCTATCCGAGCCCTCGGTCTTCAAGGCGGTTGATGCCTGTCTGAAGGGAAAAAGAACTCACAGGACTAAACTTGACCGAACAAAATTGTAAATCCAAATTGAAGAGATGAGGCAGAGAGAAGCATACGATTGATAGAAATCGAAAGCGTCACCAACCAAATCGTCAACAACATTGAGAGCTTCATTAATGAAGAGATGTGGATCCAGATTCAGCGAATCGAACACCACCTCGCTCTTACTTCCTTCCATAAAAAAATGCCTTTCCCTTCCTCAAAAATGCATCTTTCCCAATGAAAAACCAGAGAAGAAATTTAAATCGAGAGCAAATGGAAGCTCCCAAGCTTTCGCAAAAATGGAGGAATTTTGCCGCCAAAATGGTAGTGGGGAGTGATGGGGACTCGGACCGGGCTTGTATTCTGAACCGGAAAATGTCTTGTATGGATTAAAAATTTAAACAATGCTAAAAAATTAAAAGCAAAAAATCATCTTTTGTCCTTCCTTCTTCTTTGCTTATAAATTTATAAGAAATTAATTGTTGACCGATGGATCGTTGAATTTTTTACCTTAGTGCAAATATTGAACTAAAAAAAGAAATATTATTTTAGATATCAAGAAGTCAAATTAGATTAAAAAAATATATAGTAAGATCCTGTAGTATTAATTGTTACGTATAGTCGTCACTGTCACTAGTAGACACTTTCGCTTTGTTTTTCTCTCCCACCGATGTGCTTTATTTTTCTCTCTAACAGATGTGAGACCTGATGCTAGACAAGAATTTTGGATGAAGGTTCGGAAGAAGATGAGAAGGGGAAACGATGCCAAGAAGGTGGAAAGGTGGACAAAGGTTTCAAATGAAGAAGAGAGAAATAGCTGTAGATGGAGACGAGTGATTCATGGTTCCCATTTTCGACTTGGCTTGCATAAATTTAGTTTGATAATTAGCAGGTAGAACATGATTGCCTGTTCTCTCTGGTATTTTCCTTTTGCAGAGTGTTCGATCATATAGCTTAGATGAACAAAGGTTTAAAATGTTGATATCAACGGGTATGTTGAGGTCTCGATGATGATATATGGCAGATGGAGATGAACTATTATGGTAGCTTGCATCAGAAAAGAGCTTGCATTATTTTGAAACGAAAATTTCCATGGATAGTTCAAAACAAAAATTTAAGTACTCATAATAACATCTCAGACAGGATAGTTCCGCATATTGTCTCCGCAGAAATCCTCTACATTTTCTTCTATCAACCAAATCTTCAGCCTAAAATTGATACATTATCACTGTCGCCTTAAACTTTTACCTCCTAAGGTGATCTGAAAGACTCACCGGCATAGCGAACATTCCCAAGTTCTTCTTCAATGCGAAGAAGCTGCATTCAAATTTTGAAACATATAGAGAAGAATTAGAACTGTTGTGGCTATTTCAGCACAATTAGTGAAACATACATTTCAAGGAATAGCCATCATCAAGAACAGTTGGAACATTCAAGAAGGACAATAATTTTGAATGTTATGGTTTGATCACACTTACCTGATTATATTTGGTTAACCGTTCACTTCGGCATGGAGCTCCGGTTTTGATCTATAGAAGAGGAACAAAATATTCAGATATGAATGTTATGTCGACTTATAGTTATTGATGGAAGACCTGAAGATGAATAGAACCTGTCCACTGGCTAAGCCAACAGAAAGATCGGCGATAAAATTATCTTCAGTTTCACCACTTCGGTGGCTGACCATCACACCCCAACCAGCAGCCTTTGAATCGAGAGCAGCTTGAATTGATTCAGTCACTGATCCAATCTGGTTAACCTGCAGAAGAAATGTCTAAATATGAGCAAATTGCATATCAAAATGTGTAACCGCTCAGCTCAAACCACCACTAGTAGATATTGTCCATTTTGATCTGTTACGAAGCGCTGTCAGCCTCACGGTTTTAAAACGCATCTACTAGGGAAGGGTTTCCACACCCTTATAAGAAATGTTTCATTTTCCTCTCCAACCAATGTGAGATCTCACAATTCACCCCCTTTGGAGGCCATAATATTCGCTGACACACTGCCCGGTGTTTGGCTCTGATACCATTAATAGTCCATTGCTAGTACATATTGTCCGCTTTGACCACGTATCGCCGTCAGCCTCACAGTTTTAAATCGCGTCTACTAAGGAAAGATTTCACACACTTATAAGGAATACTTCGTTCCCCTCTCCAACTAACATGAAATCTCACAAAATGACATATTCTAACTACCGATGAGGAATCTCACAAAATGACATATTCTAACTACCGATGAGGGATCTCACAAAATGACATATTCTAACGGACACTGTTCAGCCAGAAAAGAAAGGAAAGAAGGAAATAAGAGGTTGCTTACCTTCAGAAGTAAAGCATTACAGGCCTTCTTCTGTATGGCTTCAGCAATTCTCTTAGGATTTGTTACCAGCAAGTCATCTCCCACAATTTGCACACCAACAGAAGATTGTAGGGAAGCCCAGGAGCTCCAATCATCTTGATCAAAGGGGTCCTCAATGGAAACAATCGGAAAATCATTGACAAACTGTTTATAGAGTTCACCAAGGCCATGAGCTGAGTGAACATGAGCTCCATCATTGGGCTGTTTCTTGAAGTTCAGATCATATCTTCCATCTTTAGTGAAAAACTCTGAAGCTGCAACATCCATTCCTATCTTGATCTGTATATCAAAATAAATGTTGCCTTATAACCGGCCCTTTCAATGACATTCCAAGACAAAAGGGAAAATTTAGTATTATATACCTTTCCTGTATAACCAGCCTTTTCAATGGCATCAGTAAGCAAAACCAATCCCTCTCTGTTATCTTGAACATTTGGAGCAAATCCCCCCTCATCTCCAACATTGCAGGCATCTTGTCCATATTTTGCTTTAATAATTCCCTTCAGTGTGTGATAAACTGTTCATAAGAAAACAATAAAATCGGGCTACTCATTAATGACTAAGCTAAGTATAT